GGGGGGGGGGGGCAATTAACGTGGACCAACCTTTAATAGAAGTTACGTCGACAGGCTTCTTTAGGATAATGATTTATTTGGAAACATAGCCACGTATAAAGCAAAGCTCTGAGACGTGGCAGGACCAAACAGACGCATCGAACGTGTCAGTATCCTACAGAAGTAGAGAGTTACAAGCCAAAGGGAGATGGTTCGGCCACATGTCATCGTTCTTTCTCTTGTCTCTCTATTAAACCCTCCTCATGATTCTTAGATAAATGCCAAGAAGAAGGAAAAACAATACACAGAAACAGAGAGAGTTTTGTTGATTTTGAGAAAAAAACACAGCTTTGGAAAATGGACATGCAGTCACAGAAGACACGTCCTTATGTTCATGATCAAGCTGAGGATCCAATCAGAGTTCACCATCAAGGTATATAATAATACATATGCGCAAGAAACTAAACCAAGCCACTCATTTATCTTAATATTTGGGTTGGTCTAATATATTGTGGGAACAGAGGAAGAAGAGCATCAAGAGAAAGGAGCAACTAAAGTGTTGAAGAAAGTGAAAGAAAAAGCTAAGAAGATCAAGAACAGTCTTACCAAACATGGTCACGGTCATGACAACGATCATGATGTCGAAATAGAAGACGACGAATATGACGAGCAAGACCCACAACTGCACGGCACGCCAGGTTTGTCCCTTGCCTGATAAAAAAACATATCGGTTTATGTTTTTATAACACAAACTGTTCCTCTGTTTCATATCCATGTGGCACAGTGTATACTGGTCAACCTGAGTCACTAAGTCATCCCGGAGAAACTAATGTTCCGGCACCAGAGGAGATCGTTCCACCAGGGACAAAGGTGTTTCCTGTCGTGTCTTCTGATTACACCAAACCCGTTGAATCTGAGCCATTACAAGAAGATACCTTTTATGGCCACGAGGCAGCGTCTCATCTAGCGGATATGAGGGACGAGAGAACTGAGGAACCACCGTCTCACCCTCTTGGAGTGTTCGACATGTCGGAAAGAGGAGAGAGCAGAGAAGCTCATCAGACACCTATGAACCCGCCTGCGTCTTCTCTGTTATCCGCAACAGAGGATGTGACGGGAACGTTTACTCCTGGTGACGATGAATATCTCAATGGTCAAGGGAAAGTCAACATCGAGAGGCCTAAAGGGTTTGAGGAAGATCCAGCTGGTCGAGGAGGAGGGACAAGTTATCTTAGTGGTGTGTCTAATTATCAGTCCAAAGTTACTGATCCCTCTCATGAAGGTAAGAACATTCAATTCAATGAGATTTCATTTAGGAGCTTAGGATCGTGTTCTACGTTATGAAACTGTAACTCTTGTTGTGTAGGAGGTGGAGAAGCTGGAGTTCCTGAGATTGTTGAGTCTCTTGGTAAGATGAAAGTGACAGATGAGTCACCTGATGATAAACAAGGAAGAGGATTTGAAAGTGACTTTCCGACAAGAAGCCATGAGTTTGGTCTGAAGAACGAGTCTGAATCAGAGAAAGATATTCCTGAGAGAAGTGATGATGTGAAAGTCGAGACTGAGTCGGGAAGAGATTTACAGACGGGGATTCATGATCAGTTCTCACCGGAACTCTCTCCTCCGAAAGAGACACACGTATCAAAACCAAGTACCTACACAGAGAAGATAGGTTCAGCTGCTTCCTTTGTAACAGATAAAGCTATAGCGGCGAAGAACGCCGTCACCTCGAAGCTAGGTTACTCCGGGCAACACCAGAGCTCCATCGGAGATGAAACGACTCCAAGATCTGCCACGGGATACGGTCAGAAAGTGGCGGGAACTGTTGCTGATAAGTTGACTCCTGTCTACGAAAAGGTTAAAGAAACAGGATCAACTGTGATGACGAAGTTACCCCTCTCTGGAGGTGGAAATGGAGCGGAGGAGAATAAACAAGTGGAAGGCAAAGGTGTTTTGACAAGAGATTACTTGGCGGAGAAGCTGAGACCTGGAGAAGATGACAAGGCATTAGCGGAGGTGATTGCTGAGAAACTTCATCTCGGAGGAGGTGGAGAGAAGAAGACTACGACCACAAAGGAAGTGGAAGTGACGGTGGAAAAGATCCATACCGACCAAATATTGGAGGAAAAAAAACATGGTGAGGAAGGGAAAGTAGGAGTAGGAGGAGGAATGGTGGGGAAGCTTAAAGGAGCCGTCACTTCTTGGCTCGGTGGTACAAGTGAGGAAGTGAAGAAGCCGAAGTCTTCAAGTTCCGTTGACGAGTCCTCACAGTCGCTTGGAACTACCGTTGGTAAAACTTCTTCATCATCGGTCTTTGTTATGTGGTTTGGTAATAACTATGGACTATTGCTAAGTATGTTTTACTATTGTTTTGTTTTAATGGTAGGGACTATGGGATTTTCAGATTCCGGTGGAGCTCTGACCGGTCAGAAGGGACTTCAAGATTCTGGGAACTGAGATTTTGTTTTGCTTTTGAATGTTTGTGTCGCTTGGTTGATGCCTTTGTTCGAGACTTTGATGTATCTTGGTTGGTGTAATCCTTGTTGTTGTGAAAAAGTGAATAATACATTTGCTTCTTGTTAGAGTTCTTCCTTACCAGCCAGTGACTATAGTATTATAACTCGAAATGCAAATAGTTAAGAGAGGGTGATAATAGTTTAATATTTTGTTGTTCCAAATTCTAATCTAGTGTGATGGATTTGGAAGATCCTAGCCCAACAAAAAGAAAAAGTCAAGTAGGTGCCGTAGCAGTGACATCAGTTGATCATAATTTGATACTACACAACTTGGTACTGTTGTGCTTTTGTTCTTTTTGGCATCAAGTTCTTGTCACAAGTTTGATACTACACAAGCTGTGGAGTGGCTCTGTGTTTCCTCTTCTCTCCGGCCATTGTTCTGAGCCGTACAATCGTGCATTGAGAAGTTCTATAATATCAAATAGGTTTCTGTCATTCATATCAGACTTCAAGGTCTTTTTATATACACGACATAAGTTCATAAGTTTATCTAGAATAAGAAAGTCAAACTAAACATAATAAAAGTTTATCTAGAATAAGAAAGTCAAACTAAACATAATAAGGAAATGTAACCTAATCGATAAGTGTGATTTAGAATACGCCCCCTCAAGTTAGAGCATATAGATTTCGAATGCCCAATTTGTATAGGAAAATGTCGAACTCCTTTCGTCCCAACGTTTTGATCAAAATGTCTGCCAATTGATCTTTAGTTTTTTTCACATGAGCGGTAGCAATCGTCTTGTTGATAATGTGATCTCGAATAAAATGACACTTTGCTTCAATATGCTTCGTTCATTCGTGAAAACCGAGTTTTTCGTCAAGTATACAGAAGACTGATTATTACACATCAATGTCATTGGTTGTGTATGATCGATTCCAAAATCTCGGAGAAGACCTTTAATCCATTTGAGTTCACGCACAGCTTCCGTCATAGCTTTGTATTCGGCTTCAATAGATGATAGAGCTACAGTGTCTTGTTTTGAGTCTTCCATAAAATCATAGATGATCCGATCTGCACGATCCAACCCGTTAAAGAACGTCGAGTTACGGGACAGCCTTCCCAATCTGAGCCAGACCAGCCTGTAACATGAATAGGGGGTGCAGCGCGAAGCATAATCCCTTACCCAAGAGTTCCTTTTAAATACCGAATGACATGCATAGCCGCATCCCAATGAGCTGTCTCGGGTTGCTGCATGAACTGAGTAAGAATATGAATTGTGTAAGTAAGATCAGGTCGTGTTGCAGCTAAATACACCATCGTCCAACGAGACGACGTTAGCGTCCTGGGTCAGGAAAAGGAGAGCCTTTAGCTAAGGCAAGGCCTTGTTTCTGATCTATTGGAAAGCCAGCTGGCTTACAACCTAGCATTCCAACTTCGGTGAGAATGTCATTGCAATACTTTCGTTGACATAAGTAGAAACCGCCTGTAGTGCGAGCCACCTCTAGTCCAAGAAAATATTTAAGATGTCCAAGGTCTTTCTTCGAAAACACGATGAGAGATAACACTTGAAGTCATTGATGGACGCATGCGAGTTTCCAGAAATAATAAGATCATCAACGTATACGAGAACACGAAGAGTAGTACTGCCTTTGGTAGAGACGAAGAAAGAGTAATCGCTCTGTGACTGTGTAAACCCAAATGCATGTAGAGCCATTGTTAGTTTAGCAAACCAACAACGCGGTGCTTGTTGTAAACCGTAGAGAGATTTGCGTAGACGAAAAAATCTTGTACCTGAATCTGATCGAAAACCAGGCGGAATTTTCATATATACTTCTTCGCCGATATCGCCATGCATGAAGAAAAGCGTTATGGACATTCATCTGATGTATTTCATAATCTTGTTTGGCGGCAATATCAAGGAATATACGGATCGTTGTCATCTTCGCGACCGGTGCAAATGTTTCTTCGTAGTCAATACCTTCTACTTGATTATTTCCAAGAACAACCAGGTGTACCGTCTTCTTTGATTTTAATTCGGTATACCCATTTGCATCCTAGAGTAACTTTTCCTGGAGGTAAGTCAACTAAATCCCATGTGTGGTTGATCTCTAAGGCATCAATCTCTTGTTGCATGGATTTCTTCCAAACATCATATTGCATAACCTCTTTGTAAGATCTCAGCTCAATAGCCATAGACAAGGCCATCAAGAAGGTACAATGAGACGTAGAAAAACGATCACACGTATAATAGTCAGTGATTGGATAAACCGTACCTGAGGATGCCGATGGAGTGCGGGTCGTGAGAGGTGAGAGAGAGACTGTATTAATAACGAAGTCTGCAAGTCGTGTCAAAGGTTTTTGTGACACCCGTTTTCTCAAAAATAATATAATTAATAATAATTACTAAAAACATCGGACTCAATAATAATACTTAAAATTCAACGTACTTCATACCACATAAGTCCAAATCATAAAACGGCCCAAGGCCCAATACATAACATCCGTAATAACGTCAACAACATAAACCGAAAGTCTGAAATAACATAAGCGATAAAAGTCCAAGGCTTATAAGCCCAATACGATAAAATACGATACGATAAGATAGAATACTATAGAAGCCCAAAAGCCCAATAGCACCGGTCCGATATGGTCACTCCTGCTGATCGGTCTCACCTCAAGGGGAAGAAAGAGGGGTGAGCAACAAGGGAGTCGCTCAGTGAGGTACGGTATGCTACCCCGAAGCCCGTAGACCCGGACATAGCACTCCAAATAAACATAATTTAAATCTATAATGTACAAGTATGACACCTAAAGCACCCAAGCAAACAAACAGTGGTCCTAGCGAGGCGCGCACTCGCTGCCCACTAACGGGCCAAAAATCACACAGCCCACACTAGGGTACAACAACAACACAGCCGAGATAGTGCTCGGAAACACCGCCCGTAGACGATTTATCGACGCCAAGTTACGGTCCAACCGGTCGACTAAAGCTGGCCGTAACCCTCATACAATCCGGCATACAGAAGTCCGTCTCTGTACCCGGCCAAACAATTCTAGCTAATCATTACATTAAGTGAAGCAATCAATGTTGAATCCTCTAACCACCTAGTTCCGGTTTAAGCAAGCAACCTAAAACTAATCAAGCAATGACAGACTCGATTTCACGCAGACGGAACACAATAGAAATAAATTATATTTATTTAAAATTCTAAGTCGCGCACGAATCGTTCGGAAGTAGACCCTCACCTTAGCAACAGGGGAAAAGTAGTCTCTATGAACTCCAGCTGCTCAAATAGATCCCAAATCTGAAATCAGATCGAAATTCCGAGTCAGAATGACCTTCGAACGGTCGAAAACGAGCAATTTCGGAAAAGTCAACTCGCAGGTCAAAGGTCAACCCAGTCAACTCTGACCCAAGCCGGTCAACCCTTGACCAAATTGAAATCGAATTAGACCAACCGGTTTTCCTTAACCGGATTCGATTTCAATTGAACCAGACTAATCCGATTTCAATTCGGTTTAACCTTAACTGAAAATCAATTAATTAAATAAACCGGTTTACCCTAACCGATTTCCATTTAATTTTAACCGCCGGTTTAAGTAAACCAACAACTAACCAGATTTGACCAACCTAAACCGGTTGACCGAGTCAACGGTTGACTCGCCGAGTCAACCCAGCCGAGTTGACCGAGTCGCCGGCGAGTCACCGGACTCCGGTCACCGGTCCGGCGAAAAATGCGGCGGACGGACGGTGGAGGTGCGGCGGCTCCGGTGAGGCTCCGGCGGCGCGTGCGGCGGCTCTGGCGAGGTGACGGCGGCGCGTGGCTTTCACGCGCACGCGAAGGCTGATCTTGCGGGGGCGCGTGACGGCGGCTCTGGGCTTCGATTGCGGCGTTTTCGGGGTATACGGCTTCGTCTCGATGAGTAGAACACGGTGGTACCCTTGCATTCATGAGATTCTCAACGGTTAGGAAGTTATGGTCTATTTACTAAACGGATCAAAACTTAACTAAAAACGTGGCGGTTTCCGGTGGTTACCTAGGCTGGGTGTCAGTGGTGATGAGCTGGACGTGATCACGGCGTGGGGTTGCTCCGGCGAGTCTATCTCTACAAAACCAAACACTCTTTCTCAAACTCTCTCTCCAAACTCTCTCTCTTCTTACATGAAATTTCTGAGAAAACAAGGTGGTGAAATGGCTTTTATAGTCAATACCTTTGGCAAATTCGGATGGACCTGGGGCTTGGCCCTGAAATGATGAATTTGATGGGTTTGGGTCACTACAGTTTTTTTGTTCTGAAACCGCGGCCTAGTTCTGTAGGTGTTTCGTTTGTAGAGTTTGAGGTACAAGGTTTTGTGCTTGTCATTGTGTTGTCGATGGTATTCGGATCGATTTCTGATGTTTCAGTTGGTGTAGTGATCAGAGAGGTTATTGTGGTCATAGAGTCAATTGAGAGCTCTTCATCACTATGATTTGAGCTGGTCATAGGATCAATTTGTTGTCTGGTCGCAGTGGTTACTGTGATGTGATAAGGAAATACTGATTCTTGAAACAAGACATCTCGTGAAGTAAATGTCTTCATTGTCGAGGTCGTATAGTCGCCATCCTTTCTTTCCATGTGTATCCCAAAAATATGCAACGACGACTTCTAGAAGCGAATTTGTCTCCTCCATGATTCTGGTTATGTGCATAACACAAACATCCAAAAACAAGAAGTTGGTCAAAGGCCGGTAGTCATTTGTAAAGCATCTCGTAGGGTGTTTTGTTGTTGAGAAGCTTAGATGGTGTACGATTGATCAGGTAGCAAGCTATTAATGCACATTCTGCCCAGAATACAATGGGTAATCCAGCTTGAAATCGGAGTGCTCGAGCGAGGTTCAAAATATGTCGATACTTACGTTCGACACAGCCGTTTTGTTGTGGAGTTCCAACGCAGGAAGTGTCATGGATGATGCCTTGTTTGCGAAAGAATTTTGTTAAGCACATAAATTATGTACTGTTGTCACTTTGAAGTATTTTGGCGTTGCAATCAAATTGTCGTTTGACAAGAGCAAGAAAGTCTTTTATTCGGTTGAAGACATCGACTTTATCAGGAAGAAGATATAGCCAAATTGCTCTTGAATAGTCGTCGTTAATGGTCAAAAAATATCGAGAGCCATAGAATGAAGCAATACGATATGGCCCCCAAAGGTCACAATGAAACAGCTCAAAAAGATGTGGAGGCTTTATGATAACTATCCAGAAAAGAATTTTGGTTTGTTTTGATCTAAGACAAACATCACAAGTAGATAAAGAAAGCGCGACACTACTGGATTTAATTTTAACACCGGAAAGTAAGTTGATAGCATAAGAAGACGGATGACCGAGACAATGATGCCATAGAACACCTTCATCACTTGTCGTAGCATTGAAAGCAGTCACAGTTTCTAAGCCTTGGAAGTTATACAGTCCCTCTATTTCTCGTTCACCCGCTCCAATCAGCGTCCTCGTGATGCGGTCATGTAGTATAATAAGCTTATCAGTGACTTGAACAACCAAAGATTTATCAGTGAGTAGTTGGCCAAAGAAAATAAGGTTCGTGTGAAATCCATTAACATGGTACCTGTTTTTAAGTGTATATGTGATGTGAGCTGATTCGTGCCACATTGAGTGGTCAAGACGTTGTCACCCGCAGGTAATGTAACCGATATTGGGGTAGCAAGCTCAATATTTTTCAATAGATCGAGACGACCAGTCATGTGATGAGTGGTGCCTGAGTCGATGACCCAAACGGGATCATCATTCTTACCACTTAGACGATTTCCGTCTGAGTTTGGTTTCGGTGGGTTGAAGAGTTTGACCAATGTCTGCCACTGAGCATCAGAGAAACTGGTTAAGCCATGTCTGTCATTTTCTGTTAAGGTTAGGTTAGCGCCGATTGTGGTAGTCGGTCCAATTATCTAAGAAGAGTTTGCGCGGGGAGTAGGATTTTGTCCAGAAGATTGTGTATTTGCTTGTTGTGTATTTGCTTGTCCTCCCTGATAATTGGTGCCGTATCGAGGCCTTGTCCCCCACCACTATGAAAACCCCTCAACACGAAAACATGATGTAGCTCGATGTCCTAGCCTGCCACAACTAGTACATGTAACGTTTTTGTCTGGATTTGGAGGCCGTGGTCGGTAATTGTTGGATTGTCGCGGTGTTGAATAAGATCGAGAAGACTCTGAGTTGTGTTGTTGTGTTGGTGCTTGAGCAGCAAAACTTAACACTGCTGGAGTCTCATTTTTCGCATTGAGTTGCACGGTTTCGTTTTGCACTATTTTCTGGTATGTGGTGTCAAGATCTGGTAAAGAAATCTGTGCGCAAATCTGAGATCGAACGGAGCTATGTATATCATCAAGACCAAAGAGGAAATCATGAACACGAATTGTTTCACGCTCAGTGTCATGAGCGTTAACCAAGTTGCATTCACACATTCCACAGCTGCACGTCTTGGTTGAAAGACATTCAAACATAGCATCCCAAATTTTAATCAATCGTCCGAAGTAATCTTCAACGGTGGAACCAACATGTCGACAATTTGCAAGAGAAGCTCGAAGTTGTTGATAACGAGCCCCACTTTTTAGTGCAAACCGCTTTTTGATATGATCCCACAAGTCTCCGCTGCTTCTTTATGAGAGATATTTGATCGAAGTTTCGGTTCTATCGTCAATTTGATCCATGTGATGAGTAGATGATTATTAGCCGTCTAATCCTCAAGGTCCGGTGAGTCAGCAGAGGGTTTTGGTATGTTGCCGTCGATGAAGCCAGATTGCTTTCGAGCACTTAGTGCTACTCGAAGATTTTGTGCCCATTAATCATAGTTTCGTCCGTTAACTAGAGGCTGAGAGGTAACCGCTCCAGGATTATCACTAGCTGATAGGTCGTAAGGAGAGATTATTCGTCGAGATTTTGTTTACGTTATAATAGTTCCTGCCATGGTTGTGTCGAGATTTGGTGATCAAGGCCGAGAGTCCAAAAAAAACGGAGATCGTTGAGTTGAGTTGGTAAAAAATCGATGTTTTCATATTCGTAGCTCAGATACCAGGAGAAGTTCTATTATATCAAATCGGTTTCTGTCATTCATATCAGACCTCAAGGTCTCTTTATTTACACGACATAAGTTCTTAAGTCTATCAAGAATAGGAAAGCCAAACTAAACATAATAAGGAAATATAAACTAATAGATAAGTATGATTTAGATATATCCTAATATGCATTGTTTTCCTTTTTGGAGCTTAAGCTAATATTTGCTAGTTATGTAACATCCAGATTTTTGTTCGTATGTGTATGTCGTGAGGGTTTTAAAATTAGTTATTAAAAGGAGTGAATTTACTAAATAACCAAAATCAAGTGTATAATTAGGCAGATGACTATGAATTTGACATTATGAAGTGAATAACATTTTATCTTCTCCTAAGCCAGTTATGCCTCCATTAGAAACAAGTTACCGGTTAAAACAAAAAGAGAGATGACGTTGTTGACTTAAGAGATGGATCACATTTATTGTGTACTGTTAACTAACGAATAAAACAAATACATCCACGTTACATGTTCTTATCACGTATAGGTTAATTGTGCTATATAAATGTTATGTTCCATTTATAAAAGTATAATGTTTGATAGAAATAAACAGAACACCTTCATGTGAAATAGAACCACAAACCTTAAACTCAATCCAATTATAAATACTACTAAACCCTAAATCCTAATTACTAAACCCTAAACCTAAGTATAGACCATAAACCCAAATACTAAACCTTAAATCCTAATCACTAAACCCTAAATCCAAGTATACAACATAAACTCAAATATAGCTGAACAAAATACATGGTATAGTATATATAAGTGAACAAAATAGAAAACTCTTTATTAATCGTCAAATGGAACAATACATGATAGGGTCACTAAACCCAAAGTTCAACCGCCACCTTCCAAATATATACTAACCCCCTAAATCCTAATCACTAAACCCTAAACCTAAAGATAGACCATAAACCCAAATATCATGGAACAAAATACATAGTATAGTACATATTGGTAAACAAAATAGAACAATCTTTATTAATTGTCAAATGGAACGATACATGATAGGGTCACTAAACCCAAACTTCAACCACCACTTTCCAAATAAATACTAAACCCTAATCCTAATCACTAAACCATAATTCCAATGATAGACCCTAAACCCAAATATATTGCAACAAAATAAATAGTATAATACATATCGGTGAACAAGAACAATCTTTATTAATCGTCAAATGGAACGATACATGATAAAAAGTATAGTAACAGACTATTTCGCATTACATAACATGAATAACGAACATAATATATGTTGTTTTACATTTTTATTTCATACGCATATAATAGAATAGAACACGATTTAACAAAAACTGTTCATCTTCTCCAAAGAATAGTATAGTCCGTATGTTCATTTTTTTTTTGTTTTTCCAGACATGGTGACGCTCTTCTGAGAACAAAACAGTGCATGGAAATAACTCACAGACGACATTAATCATCAATGGTGATAATCAACAACAGTGATAATCTAGCAACGGAAATCGTAGGTGGTGTAAGAAAACGTATCTTTGGCTCCTTTTTATATTTGGGAATCTAGCAAGCTTTTCCTTCTGGCACCGGCCTGTTACTTCGACGCCTCCTCTTTTTTTTTTTGAAATTAGCAAAGAGTCACCTCTGTAATGATACCAGTTGCACATGGTCTTCTCTATCAGAAAATATCAAGATTGAAGGCAATGAAATGGTGGAGCAAATTTTAAATGAGGGATTGTGACTCCTATTACCATGATTTACTTTTGTTACATAATAATAAATATTTTCTTATAACTTTTCAGGTTTCACCGGTTATTTCAAAAGACAATATGACAATATTATACAAAATACAAGTGATACATATAAAAAATAAGATAATTGGTTATAGATTGAATAATAATTTTTTTGATGGTTATACAACTCAATTTCTCTAAAGGGTATTTGTTTTTGATCATTTATAGAAAAGAGTTGCGGAGTTATCACATTTAAGCTAGAGCAAATTTTTTTCCATCCGAATTTGTTCTCTGAATCAATATTTGTTTATGTAAATCAACAAATACGTATCGTAACGGGCATACGTCGACATGCTATTAATAGAACTTTCATCATCATAGATAGATAGTGTAAAAGCTCCTTCACATAGCGGCAGCTAATGTAAAAACGTATTTTTGGGTTGAATCAATTTAGTATTCTTTCAAAAAAAAAAATTAGAACTTTTATCGACAGGCTTCTCTTGAGATCAGATATAAAGATCAAGTCGACATAAAAGATCACACATCAATTTTGAATGAGAGGACAATCTACCAATTTCCCGAATTAATATCATGCCGACATCGAAAAAATAAAATAAAAAAGCCTACCGACATACAAGCACTTAAGTTAAAAGAGCAAAAGTCGGACACGTGGGATGTCGGAAGTGGACGCATCGCGCGTCAGAGGTTGGTTCAGTCATAAGTGATCCTTCTCTCTCAGTGTCTCCATAAAACCCTCTTCTGGTTTTCTCAGAGAAGAAACAGAAAACAAACACACAGAAATAGAGAGAGTTTTGATTGGTTAGCTAAGAAAAGAGAGAAAACACAGCTTTGGAAAATGGATTTGACACGTCCTTCTTCTGCTCAAGATCAACCAGAGGAACCACTCAAGATTCACCATCCAGGTATACAACACTAGATTCTAGTTTCAGAAACTTGGGTTTTCATTTACTTGATTGATGGTGTTTCGAATACAGAGGAAGAAGAGCATCATGAGAGCCGAGCATCTAAAATGTTCGGGAAAGTAAAGGCAAAAGCTAAGAAGTTGAAGAACAGACTTACTAAACATAGTGATGAGCACGATAACGATGTCGTGGATGAAGAAGAAGAAGAAGATGAAGCTGACGTGCCAGAGCTAGAAAAGCATCTCTCACCAGGTTACTTTCTTTGTGATTCATCCCTTCAATGTTACTATATGATCTAGCGGTTATGTTTTTGTTTATATATCTGTATAATACGTACAGTGAATGAAGTCCCCAATGTGAGAGGCTATACAGAAACGAGTAAACCTGAGTCTTTGACTCATCCCGGAGAAACTACTGTTACAGAGGAGATCATTCCTTCAGGGACTAAGGATTCAACTGATTACACCAGAACCGCCCAACCTGAACCATTACGAGATGCAACTTACGAGGCACCGTCTTATCCTGTAAGAACATCAGATGAGTCGAACAGGGAAGAGAGCAGAGAGACTCATCACTTGCCACTGAAAACTCCCGTGTCTCTACTCTCTGAAACAGAGGGTGCGACAACTCCTGGTGAAGATGGACTATTGGGTGGTCAACGGGAAGTCGACACTGATAAGCCCAAAAGATTCGAGGACGATCTGAGTGGTGAATCTACTTATCAGTTCAAGACTCCGTATCACACCCGAACACAAGGTAACAACTTTTGAGAGAAGTTAAAAGGATATTTATGTCCAGTGTTTTATGAATATCTGTAACCATTGTTGGTTGTGGTTAATCTAGGTAGTGGAGAAGAAGATGATCAGAAGTCAGGTCTAGGAACTGAGCTGGAGTCCGAATCTGGAAACGGAAAGGATTCGCTGGTTAAAGTTGGAGTAGAATCAGAAACAGAGCTCGTTAAAGATCTTCCGACAAGAAGCTTCGAATCAGAAACTGGGCGTAGTGAAGATTTTCCGGTGAAGGGCCATGAATTTGATCAGAAGTTCGATCCAAGAATCAGCAACGATGGTGAAAAAATAGAAACTGAGCTCGGTAAAGATCTTCCGACAAGAAGCTTCGAATCTGACATCGGCAACGAGTCGCCGACCGTTTTTGGCGAGAAACAAGAAACTGAGCGTAGCGAAGATTTTCCGGCGAAGAGCCATGAATTTGATCAGAAGTTTGACTCAAGAATCAGCAACGATGGTGAAAAAACAGAAACTGAGCTCGGTAAAGAACTTCCGACAAGAAGCTTCGAATCTGACATCCGCCACGATTCGCCGACCATTTTTGGCGGGAAACCAGAAACTGAGCGGAGTGAAGACTTTCCGGTGAAGAGCATCGATTCAAGAATCGGCAACGATGGTGAAAAAACAGAAACTGAGCGGCGTGAAGATTTTCCGGCGAAGAGCCATGAATTTGAACAGACGATCGGATCTGGGATCGGTGAGGACAACGGGGCTGGAAAACAAGGAACTGAGCGGAGGGAAGATTTTTTGGGGAAAAACTATGAATTTGACCAGGAGATTGAATCTACCTTCGGAAAAGATTCACCTACCAGACTTCCCGGAGACGAAAATTTTCCAACAAGAAGAGATGATATGAAAGTCGAGATTGGGTTGGGAAGAGAGTTACCGACAGAAACTGATGATCACTTCTCACCAGAATTTTCTGGTCCGAAAGAGAGAGTTGATTTCGATTCACAGGCTGAACAGACAAGATACGAGGCACAAGAGGTAAAACCAACCACCTACTCAGAGATGATTGGTTCACCCACCGAGAAAGTTATAGACACGAAGAATGCTGCCACTTCAAGTATAGGCTACTCCAGCGATATATCCGGTGGGCAACACGAGAGTCCCGTCGAGACAGTTGCTGATGCTGACAACGAAAAGGTCAAAGAAACTGCATCACCTTTCTCTGGCGGCGGAAGTAAGGCATATGAGACAGAACAAGGCGAAGACAAATTTGTGCCGGCTAGAGATCATCTGAATGAGAAGCTGACTCCTGAAGAAGAAGACGAAGCTTTTTCTGATATGGTCGCTGAGAAACTTAATCTTGGAGGAGAGAAAAAGACAACGGCCGTTGAGAAGATCCCATCCGACAAGTTACCGGAGGAGATAGAAGGCCGTGACGAGGAAGGGAAAGGTGGAGGAGGAATAGTGGGGACGATTAAAGGAGTGTACAATTACTGGGTTGGTGGTACGGAGGAGGTGAAGCCTAAATCTCCAAATTCAGTTGAAGAGTCTTCACAACCACTTAGCTCCACCGTTGGTAAAACTAACTCGTCCGTTACTCCTTGTTAATGCTTTTGAAAAAGATTTTGTTGGTGTTTATATTGCTTGTGGTTTACTCAGTGTTTTGTTTCACATGTAGGGACTAAAGGCTTTTCGGAGTCCGGTGAAAGCGGGTTGGGAGAGACAGGCGGTGGTACCGGAGCTGTGCCAGTGCAGAAAGAAATTTGAGAGTCTTGGAACTGAGATTTGGGGTTTTCTACTGAATTATGTTTGTGTTAGCGTCTCTGTTTGTCATTTTTCATGTATTTTGATGTAATGTAATCTTTGTCTGTGTGTCAAAAAGATTAAATATATACATTGGAATAAGCTCTTCCTTACATGATTAGAGCTTTAAAATGTGCTCTACTCTTGGTTGATACAATGGATGAGTTGAAAATGCATATGTGATAACTGATGAATCTTTATATGAACGTGAAAATGTGTTGCAAAAAAAAAAAAAATCACAGCTTTGAACTGAGCATTTGCGAGAAACGACAAATTTAAAACAACAATCAAATAAAATGGCAACTGTATTACATGGTCTCAAACCCGGAGAGATGGTGCATTCTCTCTTGATTTCTCATATACTAAAACTAGTATCCCATAACCATAACCCCCAATAAGCTTTTGACAGTCAGACTATATTTAAACTCATCCAAAAGCCTCAATGCAAACCCTCTTGGCGTATCAGTGTCGTTTTTTTTTTTTTTTAATTTAAGTTCATTCTCTGGCTAACTTTATTGATATATTGACTTCTTTATCTTCGATTCTCATTGTAAATGACTATTTACATTGTTTGGGTTTGTTACTAAGAAAGCAAACAGTCAACGTGAAGGTTCAAGACTTTTCTTAACGTTGTTGAAGCTAGATTCTCATAGCAGTGACTGACTCCATCCAAAAACGTAGACCCTGGTAACCAAAGCATAGTAAAGAGGTAAACCATCTTTTATTTTCACCAAAAGAAATTATACATATCAGACTCTTTCTAAACTATATAAGGTATGTAGATATACATTAATAATGGTAATATTTATTATTAGAAGCTATATTATTTAATCAAAAGATTTTTTTACTTCAAGTGTTTCCTGGGTGTTTAAGTAACTTTTGGATCATGAAAAAGTAATATCAGTTGGTCACTACTAAATTGTTAGATATTAGAGATGTCGTTTAGACTTAGGTAAAACTGAGAGTGCGAGACTCAAAAGTAACAAGATTTTGGACAGACAACTAGTTTCCACATGTTACCTTCAAGACTTTCTACTGACTTGAAATTTGCACTCAAAGCTAACTTACATTATTCAAGCTTACTTATCAATTGATATCCTAGATGATAATGATGATTACTATGAAAGTGATGGTAAGACTTGGATCAACCACCAAATTGGTAAAATCACCATTTACTAAAGAACATCCATCAGTAGTATCTTGGCTAAATGTTATCTACAATGCAGGTGGTATCCCAAACCCAAAGCATATTTTTATGACAACGAATATACTCATTGGTTGGGGCTAAACATATATCGAAATTTCCATATTGTGTAATCAAGTGCTTGAATGAGACCATTTGATTTTCTATCATCCATTCAACTGGTTAATTTGGGATAAGAGTACAAAATAGAAGGAACCTGAGGCTTTTTCTTTTTGGGAAGCATTTCTCCTCGTAATGCAGAAATTTTGGGGATTGAAATAAAAACAGACTCTCCAAGCTTGACAATGTTCATTTAAAGCATTTGGGTCGAGAAAAACAATTGACTGTATCGTCAAATCTTCTACAACAAAATTTGAGGTTAATTTTATCTTTGGCTCTATCTGTTTAGCAGAAAGGAATTTAATGAGTGTTCAATCAAGTCATCCATTTCTGCTGATTCCTCTACTGATCTTGATGCCAAAGAGTCTTTTTTTAATGTTCACTTCAATATTAATAAGAAAGTGTTAAAAGACCACATTGGACATCAGTTTAACAGCCGTAGCAATCAAAATTCCTGTCAGCCAACATGTTCAATTTGGATCTCAGTCCAGTTTTGGTTCGTTTTTTTTACAAATATTCAGTATTTCGGTTTATAAAAATCAGATACTAAATTGGAAATATATCTAATTTGGTTTATTCCGGTTTATTTTTATACCAAAAATCATAATTATATTTATCTTTTATTACAAATTTTAGATTATATGACTAGAAATCATATTTATTAAAACATAAATATTTATTCCTTAGTCTAAATTGTAAATATAATATTGTCTGTATTTTTTAACTACTAAAATAAATGTAAGAAGATGGTAATATTATAATATTATTATATAATTACATTTTAGCCCAAATAATTATCAGTAAATATATATTTTATGATATTTGATGAAAATTATAAAATAAAATAACCATTTTAACTCCAAAAAAGTAAAATTTATTAAAATAAATGTTTTATTTGTGGTACCATATTAATAAAAATAAATTATGCATATATAATTGAACTTTTTTTAATTAAAATTCAGTATTTCGGTTTTTATAAAAAGAAAAAAAGAAACCTCTCTTCCTGTTTTGAGACTTCGGTTTAGGCTCATGCACTCAAAACCAACACTCACTTTGGTAAACCAAAAAAATATTAAGATTAACTCGAGATTTAATTAAAAGCCAAATTCATGGAAAACCAAAACTTCGTAACCGAACCGTGGCTCAAAAAACAAAAAGAAAATAAGAAGAAGTAAGGACCCACAAAATCACCTAAAAAGGTGAAACTCGCGAATCTATCGCTAGGTGGGGCTTCTCTTAAGCAAAGATCGCATGAACCTTTTTATTATCATTCCTCGGCTTCTTCAAATCCCAGAGAGCGTCTCCACAATTTAGTTCCCAAAAACATTTCTGCAACGTAATCTCATCTTCAATTCCCTTGTTCGATCCACAAGAGAATCAGAGAAAAATGGGGGTGGCTCAAGCGATGGAAGCCCTAACGGAGCGAGCTGGTCTGATGAAAGAGTCTCTACAGAAAAGCCAAACCATCACCGACAACATGGTCGGTATCCTCGGTTCTTTCGACCACCGTCTCTCCGCTCTTGAAACCGCCATGCGTCCCACTCAGGTCCCCTTGTTTTGTCTGCTTTTTTGTTTTCATGACATTATCATAGGTTGTCGGATTTTGAGATCTGATCTCCATTGTTGGAAAGTGATATTAGAATTTTTTTTTTTGTATTAGGCGAGAATTTGCGTTTTCCTTATGATTTAGCTAATTTCATTTTGAGTTTATGGATTATGTTGTGTAGATAAGAACACATTCAATAAGGAGAGCTCATGAGAATATAGACAAGGCACTGAAACAAGCTGAGGTTATATTGGATCAGTTTGATCTCAGTAAAAAGGTATTTTTCGTCTCTTAACATTCTCCATTTTAGGCTTCTCATTTCGTTTCTTGTCTTTCAAGTAATCATTCTTTTCCCATAGACATGTTTCCTCAAGTTCTTTTATGCTCTGTTAAGGGTGCACCTCAAGGTGTTTTTATGTAGATACTTTTCTCTTGTTGATGTTAACATTTTCCTTCCTCTGTCAATCACTGAAACTTTAATGGATAATGTATCCCTCTAGCAACCTTTTGCTTTCTCATGCTGTGAAAACCAAACCCTAATTTCTTATCCAGGAGTTAGATACATGACTGGGTCATTAGATTTTTAGCAAAAATAAATAAAATAAGACTGGTCATTATATTTTAGAGGATATTAACAATTTAGTATAGAACTTAATATTTTTATACAATTTGGGGGCACAAACTCATGTGTATTAGTTCCTTCACATTTGTGAGCTAAAGTGAATGTTACATCTGGCTATTGCCATGACCTATCCTCTCGTTAAATAAAAAGGAATATACTTTCTGGCGTCTTCTGTGGTTTTGCCTCTATATATGATTATTTCACCTTAAGATTGTCAACATGGATTGTAGAGGTTCATGTTGAATCTCTTCTCTGGATACTGATTAGTCTATATATATCTTGTGGTCTTCAAGAGGTTCTTTGAGTTAAAGTCTTTATTAAGCTTTTGCATATCAAGGAAGCTTTTGCCTATAGCTTGATTTCACCACAAACGTAGAGGTTTTTAGTTTTAAGGTTTGCTTTCAAGCTCTTCTTTGGCTAAAAGGTCACATCATGACATACTACTGAATTTTGTTTTCAGCTAAATCTAAGATAGTTTTGTTTTGTGGTTGCGGCATTATTAATCAAGATTGATCATTTCTGTTTGTTTGTCAGGCGGAAGCTAAAATATTGAGAGGACCACATGAGGATCTCGAAAGCTATCTGGAAGCAATTGATCAGCTAAGAGGCACTATCAAGTTTTTCAGCAACAACAAGATTTTTAAGAGTACTGCAACTGGAGTTATTGGCCATGCTCACAATTTGCTCTCTAAAGCTCTATCAAAGCTAGAGGATGAGTTCAGACAGATACTGCAAAACTACAGGTTCCGTCTTTGAATACACAGATTTGTTTATACCTAACTGAAGCAAGGATTTTTTCGAACACTGTTTGACCTTTTTTTCTTTTCCGGAATCTTGTAGCAAGCCAATGGAACCTGATCGCCTTTTTGAATGTCTTCCAAGCAATCTTCGACCATCAACAGACGGTGAAGGTGGTGGCGGTAAGACTCATGATCCGCATCAGAAAAGCTTAGAAAACGCTATTTTCACAGTCCCAACCGTCATTCCCCCAAGGGTTCTCCCTTTGCTTCATGATCTGGCCCAACAAATGGTTCAAGCTGGTCATCAGCAGCAACTTTTCAAAACTTACAGGTCCAACTTCTGTTCAATTTCTCTTCTCTTCTTACAATTTTTTTTTAACCACAAAGGCTATATTCTATTTATTTTTTTTGAATGATGCTATATTCTATTTAACTACACCATTCAAACATTTGCTGATTTTAAGGCTAGATTCTTTGTTAAGATCTTAATTAGCATCGATTTCTAGCATTCTATGTACATGGTTTGATGTCCCGATCTTTACTACTTTTTGTAGAGATACGCGTGCGGCAGTTTTGGAACAGAGCCTAAAGAAATTAGGTGTGGAGAGGCTTAGCAAAGATGATGTTCAGAGAATGCAATGGGAGGTCTTAGAGGCCAAGATTGGGAACTGGATTCATTACATGCGAATATCTGTACTAAAATCTCTTTCAGCACATTAATAGATCAATTATTTGTTCCTTATTTAACACGCATTTGCTTTTGTTGAGACAGGTTAAACTGTTATTTGCTGCAGAAAAGAAAATCTGCGACCAAATACTCGACGGCGTTGAGTCACTCAGGGACCAATGTTTTGGTGAAGTTACTGCAAATAGTGTAGCTATCCTGCTTAGTTTTGGAGAGGCTATTGCTAAAAGCAAGAGGTCACCCGAGAAACTATTTGTTCTGTTGGATATGTATGAAATAATGAGAGAGCTTAAACCCGAGGTAACGTTTTACTCTCTCACTCCATCACT